GCAGAGGAGAAAACTAAATTGGGTTCAGCTAGCCGGGCATAAAGGTATGACTTGTTCAGATCAGTTGTTTAACTTCTGTGACAGCTTTAATGAAAAAGAGAAGGTGCGGGTAAGAGGTCGGGGATTGTCCCCACGATGGATGGAAATACTTAATTTGACCCTGCAACCAGGGTTGTTATTCTTTATTTTGACGTTTAAATTTCTAGATCAGTTTTTAATTCGTTTTTTGCAGGTCCAACTATAATGTCTGAGAATGATGTAGCTGCATTCACCTACAAGATATATGGTTGGAGAGCTTTGTAGAAATGGCATTAATGTTTAATCTTCTCGCTACTTAAATGTGTCCGATGTAAAACAGTTCTGGCAAAGCCACTTCATTTCTGTGGGTAATGTCACGAGAGCTGCTGGAAATTCATGCTGTTTCCTTTTTTCAACAGCGATACATTACATGTTACTTGTTAGACGCTTTTATCCAAAGCGACTTACATACTCAATACTGTGGGCAATTCCCACAGGAGCAATTTGGGGTGAAGTGTCTTGCCCATAACGACATGCAGACTGCAGTGGGGTTTGAACCTGTGACCCCTTGATCCGAACACCAACATCCACTGCGCCACACGCCTCCTATACATTATAGCTAAAAAAAACTAAAACTAAAATAAATGTATGTTCATGTTGTTTAACTTTTCCCCCCCACTTTATTGTTCTATTGTTTAGTTTTAATTTTAGTAATGAAAACAATCCCCTCTGCAGCAGAAAAACATGGATTCAAAAAGGATAAACTAGTCATTATGAGTCATTTCTAGCATTTCATTCCTAATGTTTGTAAAAGCAACCTGAAATCTTCTTTTTATCTCAGGGAACTTCAGAGCAGCAGACGAGGGCAACATCCTGAAGAAGTTCTCTGAGAACGAGAAGCAGTGTTTCGAGAAGCTAAGAGATGACGTGCTGCTCCCGTTCGTGCCCAGTTTCCACGGTGTTGTGGAAAAAGATGGAGAGTCTTTCCTTCATATGACTGACCTCCTGTCAAACTTTGACCTCCCCAATGTTATGGACTGCAAGATGGGAGTGAGGTAAGAAAGTAAGGTATACATTGAATTACTTATATTAGAGATTTACGCATATATTCTATAATTATAACCTTCGTTTTTCAACACGTGAAACGGTTTTGTAGTTTATTTCTCAGAATGAATAAGCAGTATGTGCCGCCTAAAGTATGTTTGCTCTACAAGGGAACACCTGTTGTAACTGCAGGCTATATGCTTGGCTTCCTGCCGCAGCGGGCGGGGTGCCTCAATGCGCTATGTGCACAGGACACACACACACACACACACACACACACACACACACACACACACACACACACACACACACACACACACACACACACACACACACACACACACACACACACACACACACACACACACACACATGAATGTACTGTACATGCACATGTAGAGGTCCCTGATAACTATTTCCAGTTTAACATGCATTGCACACATGCGCTAAACTAACATACACATTACGATACACACTTGAAGTATTATTATATTGCCTGCTTAGCCTTTCTGTGCGTTTATGTTTCAAAGGCTACACACACACACATATATACACAAACAAACACTAACTAAGGGTGTCCCTGGAGACTCCCCTTTCATCAAAAACACTCACACCACAATGTTGCAAAACCGCTAAGTTGCACTCAGACACGCACTCAGACTTTCACACAGTTGAACGCTGAATGCTGGATTCTCCTCTCAGCTTCCCTCTTCAGCAGAGAGGAAGTGAAGCTCACAAACTGAAACTGAAATCCACATCTGCTTGCACCATACTGTGTGGTATGAAAGAATACAAAGTGTGAATGCGCTGCTGAATTTCATACAGTATGTTGCCTTCAACAGAGTAGTTCAGTTTGGGCATTTTTATACAATGGTCAGCTGATTGATGTTTAAAAAGGATCTCTCTGGTTTAAGTGCAGCAGGAGAGTTTATTTCATTGCTAAGTTCTTGTATCTTAATAACTAAGGGTGCAAGACAAACCCTGAAAGTAAACACGGTTTAATATTTACTTAAATGCAGAGAACACTTAGCCAGTAGTGTGTAAACATGCACCTCCTTCACCTGAGGCCTCATTCCTCTTGCTTTTTCAGGACGTACTTGGAGGAGGAGCTGGTCCGGGCGCGGGAGCGGCCCAAGCAGAGAGAAGACCTGTACAGGAAGATGGTGGAGGTGGACAGTGAGGGGCCGACCCCCCAGGAGCATTCTCAGCGCGGGGTCACCAAGCCTCGCTACATGCAGTGGAGGGAGAGCATGAGCTCCACCAACACCCTGGGCTTCAGAATAGAAGGGATCAAGGTAGAGGGACATGTCATTAGTGGTATTCATTGGATACATTAAAATACACTTAAACCGTTGAACAAGGCCCTATAAAGCTATAATTGAAAACATGAGCACCATCTCCAATCAATCACAAATCATTATCATGATGTGTCTAAGCTGAAATACTTGATATGATGATTGTTGTATTATCCATCGGTCATATGGCCATATGTAATACGAAAAGGATTCCAATCTGCTAGATTTATTTACAGTAAATACAAGTATTGTTGAAAGTGTATTAAGTAATGTTTTGGTGAAGTAGTGAGACTAAGTCGATTAGAGACTTGGACTATCCTGCTGTATAAGTTGTGTGTGAGTTTGTTAACTGATGATTTGATGTTATGAAATGTGTTATTCCTTTAAACTAAATGTATTTATTTAAAGAATGTTCATACATTCAGTCCAATCTGAGGCAAAAAGTATTTTTATTATGTAATATTTCCTCTTTTTCAGAAATCTGACGGCACATGTCGCACTGATTTCAAGAAAACCCAATCGAAGCAGGATGTTGTCCAAGTGTTCAAGGACTTTGTCGGAGGGAACCCCGACATCCTAGTACGTGGCAGTCACTTTGCTTCTGCACACGTTAGCTTTTTATTCATGCATATAAAGACAAACATAACCTTACTGTCGTATACACAAGGCGGTCACACAGGCATTACCTGGAACACAACACTAACTGCAAACACACCTGTTGAGTAAGCTCTCATATCCTGGTTCTGACAAATATACATTATTTTTAATACTTATCACTCAGTCCTTACACTAAGGTCAAATGTCACTGTGTGTGCTGCTGTGTGCATGTATGTGTGACAATTAAAGAGGTTTTCATCCTCCGATTTCGATAAGGTTGGTGGACAGATAATGATAAAAGCCTAAATAGTAAATAAAAATACACACAGTCAGAGTCCGTAATGCTGTTTGAGTTTTCTATTATAGTAGGACACACTCTATACACCCTGTTAGCTGCAACAGTTAATTATAATTTAAGACTGCTTGTAATGTTAGTATTTTACAATCTGCTCATCACTGTTTTTCTCTTCTCACTCAGAAGTCTTACCTGAGCAGACTCAAGGAGATCCAGCAGGCCCTGAAGACGTCAGAGTTCTTCAAGCAACACGAGGTGAGACCGATCTAAAAACATGATGGCAAATTAAAGCATCAAAAATGAACTCTTAAAACAACTGTTGTAGGAACTAAAGCTCAACTTAAGGGATTGAACACCAACCCTTCAAAAGATCTGAATGTGAATGATGTACCACTGTCTTAACACCATCAAAAATACTTTAAGCTAACCAGTCCACTCTTTATTTATATACGTGTTATCTGCACTGTGCCTTTGGTATTGTAACAATTGAAGGACAAACAGAGGATGTCTGATTCTGATCTCTCCGGTGAAGAACGAGCTAATTGACAACAAAAAAACACACTGTTGTGTTTTCCCTCATCAGAATGAATGTTCGATTAGAAGAGGGAAAAGGAAAGGCTAATATGAAAACCGTCTTGTTTTCTATAGGTTATTGGCAGCTCTCTCCTCTTTATCCACGACCACAAGAGCAATGCACAGGTGTGGATCATTGACTTTGGAAAGACGACAGCGTTACCGGAGGACCAGACGTTAAATCACGACATTCCCTGGCAGGAAGGCAACCGGGAGGACGGATACCTGTGGGGGCTGCAAAACCTCCTTGACACTCTGAAGTCTGTCAGCAATGAAGAGTCCTTCAGCTCAGTTACCAAGGAGACAGGCTGTCAGTGACCCGTGACCTATGGGAAGTCAAACTAACGGACAGAGAGCCTCTGAGGGAGGTTTCATACATGTAGATTTGCCTGGGTGCTGGATGATAAATGTTAAAAAAGTGCATACATGCTACAAGAAAGAGCATTGTATTACTCTGATAAATCCACTGATAGAAAAGACACGATTAACAGAGAGGAGCAGAGAATTTGTCACTAGTTACTGAAAGATTGAGCAAATGAACTGACACTAATTCAACTTCCTACAAAATGAACAGAAGTGAAAGTGTAGGGATATGCATTTTAGTTTCAGGGTGACACGTGAAACACGACTTAAAAACAAGGAGTAGGTAAGCAAAGTCCTAAATCCTCCTTATTACCATCTAACCCCTCAGTCATAATGTTACATCTGCAAGTGTGACATTAAAGGGGAAATTCTGTGTGGTGTTAAACTCACAGATATATATAACTACAAGTAGTACTGCATGATGATTAGTTTGAACTGTTCTGACAAACTTTTTTACTACGTATCAATTTATATTTCTTTCATTGATTGTAATCAAACTTGTAATTATTTTTTCCTTTCTTGTTCTAGCACATTTGTGCAAGTGTAAAGAATGAAAATGTATATCAAATTAAAAATAGCAAATACTCCATCCATCCTTCTTTTACCGCTTGTCCGAGTACAGTAGCAGATCCAGTAGAGGGCCCCAAACCTCCCTTTCCCTGGCCACATCCACCAGCTCTGACTGGGGGACTCGAAGGGCAAATACTGTTCGTTTTTATTCTTAATAGTAGAACACTATTGTGGTATTTTAGTATGTTAGTAAGGAGTGAGCTCACATCGTGTAACTGATCAGATTCAAACACATAAGATCAATATATGTTGATTTATTTGGGGCACAGTAAGGTTAGAGGAAAGTGTGAAATACAGTGTTTTGCATAGAATATCTTTGCATTTTTGGTTGAGGCATAACACCCTCAGCTACTTCAAGAATACAGAAGAAAAAACATTTATAATAAGTGTGAAATAAAATGCACCAGGCCAAGAATATACACTGAGAGCAGGACACAGATGGATTTGTCTTTCTCTGTAAAATAAATTCCACATTAATCAATGTTTTTTTAATGGCACATCTCTAGCTAAAAATGTGACTTTAGAAAAAGATAGTCAGCCTTTTGGTGAGTCACCGTTTCTAATTTTAAGTGGAATTAAGAGCAACCCTAACATCTCTCACTAACATCAGGCCTGAGCATAAACACATACAGTAAGCCTAAATAACCCCTATATACATTTAACCAGTCACACAACATATTCAAAAATAAATGTTTAGGATGAAAATAAAGACACGTATCAAACACAATCGATTAAATAAGAAACATAAATACTGAATAATCTTTGAATAATATGAACTGAGATACAGCAGCACCTTTGGTATATCTGAATACCTCCCCCTGCTGAGTAAACATAGGTACTACCAGCACTACATCAGCAGATGCAGTGCAGCAGTATTTAATGGCAGTGATCAACTACAGATCCATCATTAACATAAGTGAAAAAAACAATACAGCTACAAATGCAAATGGATTAGTCCAGTGTACGAAGTGAGTACAAAAATATCTCCACAGCTGCATGGTCATCACATTCTACACGCTTATACATTTATGAGACCTGCGGTCCAAGTAAATATGGGGACATAGGGAAAGAGAACAGTAAAAAATGTGAAAAAATAATACATTTATGTAAATTGGCAAACATTTCTCAGCAAAAGCTCCACTTAATCATTGACTATACAGGAAGCAAGTCACCACTTAACAAAAGCAATTCTAAAACTATATAAGGCGATTTGTTTTATGGAAAATATAACATTTTGCTAAAGAGTTGGATGAGAAAATAGAAACCACTTTCATAGTAGTTTGTAGCTACAGCTAGCAAGTGGTTAGCTTAGCATACCTACGAGGGAACTGGAAAACAGCCACCCTTGAAATATCTGCTCGTTTCTCTGAAGCTCACCAATAAAACATAATATCTTGTTGGTTTAATCCGCACACTATCTGAAATGTAAAGCAGTTTAAGTGCATGACTATTTCTGGGCCGGTAGCAGAGACATTTCTTGAGTTTTATCTTAAAAGTGAACTTAACTAAATCACCTCCATGGAAAACTCAGCAAGCTCCCATCTGCTGGGGACGCATTAGGAGCGCCAAGTAAGTAGACCTTGTGTTGAGAGAAAACAGCAGAGACATGTTATTGCAATATACTTGAAGTATGTGCTTTCACATTGTGTAGGGTGAAGAAAATCCGAAACACATAAGTGTATCTGATGTATGCATACAATTCAAAATGAAACGTTTTAGTAATTAGAGCCTTTTCTGAATAACAAACTTCTGAAATTAAACATTCTCAAACAAAAACACACGTTTGGCGATTCTCTTCCCAATGGCTCAATATTTTTGGCATGTTACGGTCCTTCTGTAGCCTACACTGATTACTACAAATTCCAACAAATGGTTTACAATTATGCAACATTTATTACAGCAAAAGCTCTCATGAAAAAACTAAAACATAAAAGGTAGAAAAGGATTCCATTTACAGCAGTTATTTAATGTGGACAAGAGAAAGCATCTTGTCGTCCAGTGTTCATCTACCAGAGGCCCAGGAAGGAGCTCTGAGTCCAGCGTTGGCTCTCTGTGTCACAGAGCAGAGGCATGTTTGTGTTTTCCAGCATTCCCAGAGCTCTAATAAATTCGATGTAGTGGCTCTCAGACTGTGGTGGTCATGCTTTTTGTTCCAGAAACTCAAAAACACTTTAGTCTCAGCTGGTGAGAAAAAGCGCTTTGGGGGGGGACATTTCATTTTTATATCAATCTAAATCCCTGTAATAGAAGGCGGTTTCTTAGATGGGGGTGACGCTGAGGTCTTCAGACAAAGAGAAGCCTGAGTCTCGGTCACGTGTGGGCTTCTCAGCTTTGGTGTGTCTCCTCATGTCCTCGTGTCCGTAGCTTGCGTGGCGCTTCAGCAGCAGCTTGGGCATGCAGGATGAGGAGGAGGAGGGGGGGAGACCCAGCGCCAGGCCCAGGCCTGTCCCTGAAGAGGCACTGGGGGCAGAGCTGGTGTTGGAGATGGCTTCTGGGGCTTTGAGCTTCACCAGGGGTAACCTCTCCGCCTCGTAGCTTTGCTCATCGTAGGCGTAGTTGACGTTGCCACAGGGGAAACTCTGTAACTTAGCCAGATCCATTCCAGCTTTGGTGGTGCCACCAGTTGGGGTCTTATGGGAGGATGTGCTCGGAGTCGCTTGAGCCTGAGAAGAAGGGGACGGTGTCGAGGAAGGACTGAGGTCACACGCAGCCTCGTTGCTCTCCAAGGCCTGAGAGTTGGAGGAGGCGGAGCTGGAGAGAGGCATGGACTGAGTGTGAGCTAGTGTTTTCTTCCCACGGAGGTTTTCCAGAACCCAGGATCCATATGTGGGGTTCCACAGGTTCTTGGTCTTGTTCTTCAGCCTCTGGCTCCCTGAGGAAGAGCTGTTTCTGGAGCACGGTCGGTGGTGGGGGGGCTCGGGTTGAAGCCAGTGGCCTCCTGCCGACAGACCGGGGGCTGGAACAGGCTCGGCCCAGGACGGCTCCAGAGCCTCGCGGCAGGACGTCACCTCGTGGTGGACGGGCTGGGTCCTCTGGAGGAGCAGACGGGGTTTGGTGGGCTGCGGGGGAAGAGGGGCGGAACCAAGGCCCAGAGAGGAGAGACCCAGCTGGGGGGAGGGGGACTGGGAGACAGGATGGGACACCAGGAGGGGAGTGAGGCTGGAGGAGGTGTGGTCAGAGGGACGGATTATTGTGCTGCTGTCGTCCTCTGATGTGGGGGAGTACTCCACTGGTAGGGGGGTGTTGATCACATCTGGGTCCTGGTAGAGTAGTGAAGGGGAAAGGTTATTAATAAACAAAACAAAATGAAGGAAAAAGGAGTATATACTGTATATATATATCTGAAAGAGTATACCTGAGAGCAGTAGTTCATTCTCTCCAGGATGGTGGAGAAGTTGGGCCGGTGCTCGGGGCAGTGCTGCCAACACTGGGTCATCACCCGATAGCTACAGAAAACAAAAAAACGATTTACAAGGTGATTTACAATATATGAAAAAACAAGAGAAATACATAAACTATACAATAAATGATATATAACACGAATAAACAGAAAGTGATTATTACAAGCATTAATTATTTAAAACCAAAAAACGGATAAATGAAGAAGATAATCATTTTATTTATAGTTTAGTTCAAACTGTATATGTGAACCATCTATTGAAATAGGTACATGTAATACGATCAGACATGCGATAATCTCCTAACATAAAAGTCCTTACTGCTTATACATCACTCTTATACTTAGAGGAAAACAATTTGTTCAAATAAATGTATAAATCAAACTACTTGCTTTAGCTTTGGTCAAAAGTTATTCTTGACATACCAACTTTATTTTCCTCCCCTGATTTTTTCTGGCCTTATGCTCTTTTTTATTTCTGAGATAAGAAGCAGGGAGAACTTTCAGAAAGTTGAATCAATTCCCTTTCAAAGGTGTTAAAGAATGCAGAATCCATGCCTCCACGCTGGATGTGAACTGCTCTAACTTCACACCCAGGCTCCTCTCTTTATTGTTTCTCCCTCAGGACTCACACAGGCCCCGGGCAGCTCTTGGGAGGATCCATCCGGCCTCCGCTGGTGACGAACTCCAGCACCTCCTGGTTGGTCTTACAGGGATACGGCATGTACCCCAGAGAGAGGATCTCCCACAGCAGCACTCCAAACGACCTGCAGGGGGAGAGACAGACCAGAAACTCAGCTCACTCTGACTGACTGTGCTTCACATGTCGACCTGCTCTCCTCAGAGGACATCAGCATGTAATCCTGCATTGGTTAGAAGCAATTGTTGTTTCCAAATCTGTTGTATCAGCCTCTAAGGTATTAATGTGGTTTTATTTTTAAAAGATTGATGTTTGTTGGCTTTACTCTCATTGGGGCTGAGTTCTGAACCACACGCAGTTACTGTCAAACACGTTTTCAGACAGTAGGATCCAAACATCGTAAAGTGCTGCCGGGAACTTTCTGTTTTTAAGATTGGTGAAACAAATCAGTGTTTCACTTCTCTGTGGTCAAATCTATCCTGAAAATATTCCAACCGCAAAGTTTGACTGAGTTTTATGGATCGCCGCCTCCACATAAAAATTCTGTTTACAAAGTTCAGACTTTATCTGTAAACAAACGTTTCTTCCACCCTTTAAAAGTGAAATTTGACATGTTAAATATTTGACTTATTTTGTCAAAAGCAGTTTAAATATTTCCCCTCACTGCGCACTTAGTTCAGTTTTGTGTCTTGAATACAGATGCTCCTTTGTCTAGTGAAGATGTTCACACTGAGCATATTTTTGCCGACTTCTTTGTACGTCTGAGTGGTTTTGTTTAGTAGTAAAATGATTTCCATCTTTGCATTTTGTGTTTTGCTGATTGCACAGAGGCTTTTAAATCAGCTGCAATTAGGCGCTGGGATAATTGTCAGAACGTTTTGACATGGGTGGAAGGAAACATCTTCAATTAAAATCGGCTTCATCTGGTTTTAGATGTTGGAATTGTTAGAGTGAAAGCAATTAGCTTGAACACATGATATTCAGCATTTATCAAAGACCTACATTTTCGCCAGTTTAAAGTAACATACATTAAATAACAGGTTGTAAACTAAATAAAAGAGGGAGGAAAACGCCATTAAAAACAGTTTCTCTTTCTTACTTCTTTTGATATTATGTGTTAAGTATCCATACCATGTATCAGTCTTGCAGGTGAAGATTCCCTCCATGAAGGCCTCCGGTGGCATCCATTTAACGGGCAGCATTGCACGACCACCTTTCCTGTAATAGCTGGCTCTGTGATATGAGAAAAGCAAAACAATCAGATTTAGGAATGTCCATTTATCATCTGCTTAGAAGAGAAGGTAAATACAGTACCACAGGGCCATGAACTCTGTAAGTAAATTCTGATTCTGGCCCCGCGGAGGATAATTAGATAGCTTTTCAACCGGTCCTCCATTTGCTACATCAGCCAAGTGCTGCGCAGACTGCTGCCTCCATCATCGTAAGTCATCCTGTGTGCTTTCATGCGGACTGCCATGCAGTGTGTGACGATGCAAATTCAGCTTGCGAACCTGTATATGTCTCGTGCCATGCCAAAGTCTCCGATTTTAGCCACTCGGTCTGGTCCAGGGCAGGTGAGCAGGCAATTTCTCGCAGCAATGTCTCTGAAAAACACAGGATCTGTCAGAAAATGTATCTTCATGATGGCACTAAACCCATATTCATTTTTCTACAATAGATTATGGTTTGGTTTCTTGTTAAAAGGGAACCACATTTATTTTTAAAGGGATTTGTATACAGATTAATATTAATCAATTCTCATGCGGTTTCTTATTTATTTAAAAGCTGCAGCTTTTCCTGCTGCAAGAAAATGTTGACTATTAGAGCTTACAGTAAACAAGGTCAGGAAATGTAAAATGCCAATTATGCAACAGTCTGTCCAAATGAATAAATATGTAAACATTTCGTAATTTTCTTGATATTGATTTTATAATCAGGTTAAAAAGCAATACATTCCTGGATGAAGATCTAATGCCATAATGCTTTTTCTAGTGTTTTTGTTGCAGTAGAACGAACATTCTAAAATCTTGAACATTTTTATGTTATGTTGTTTAATCTGATCTCTCAGTGTGGAGCTGAACCTGTGAATGAAGTGGTTCTCCTCCAGGTAGCGACAGCCGAAGGCGATGTCTCGAGCCATCTGCAGCAGCTCCCGCATGGTGAGGTAAGAAGTCTGGCCCTGGAAACAGCACAGCTCAGTTTAGCGTACCACACAAACACACACCTCCCACACACACACACACACACACACACACACACACACACACACACACACACACACACACACACACACAGACACAGACACACACACACACACACACACACACACACACACACACACACACACACACACACACACACACACACACACACACACACACACACACACACACACACACACACACACACACACACACACACACACACACACACACACACACACACACACACACAGACACACACACACACAGACAGACAGACAGACAGACAGGAGGGTGTCATTTAGACGTACAGCTCGTGGTCTGTTCTGTCTCAGGAAGCTCTTCATGTCTCCTCCGGTCATCAGCTCCAGCAGGATGAAGCGTGGCAGGATGTTCAGACTGACACCGATGCAGCGCACGATGTTGTCATGGCTGAACTTGCTGCATGGACAAACAGTAAAAACCCCTGGGTTAGCAGGACGGCGTGTGTGTGTTCGATATATCAAATGTGCTGTGTGTTTATGTTTGCTCTCTTTATAAAGTGGAAGGAGAAAGAAAAAGGCAATGTAGATGAGAGAAAGAGAAGACAGGTGCTTCGTGATCCTACAGTAGATTTGAAGACTGTGCTGAACACCTGGAAAAATCAGCTGTGATCTCATTGGCTGGGGAAAAGCTGCGTATTAAAACAACATGTTTAATATAGTAGTTTTGATGTATTTTACACATTTCTTCAGATTGTATATATACAAAGTCTAAAAGGTGCCTCACTCAAGTTTAATTTAAGGAACTATTGCAGTAGGAATGTGTCCCTCATCCACTTAAAATATATGAAGTTTTATTTCTAATAAATCAAATTCAAGCTTTAACCAGTCTGCGAGGGAACATCGTGGGGGACAGAATAGTTAGTAAAAACTATTTTCTGCATGCTCAGTTAGAACTTTTCCCTCCCATTGCTGATGGCGATTTAAGCAGTGTGATAGTGTAAAAATGTACTTATCTATATCTTTTAGCTGACAGTCCTCATCAGTGTCTTGTTTTTTTTGTTTTTTAAATGGTGATATCTTTTTCACACTTTTGGACCAATGATAAAGCTGATGGACCACACAGCAAACCCTTAACAAGATGAAGCAACACTTTCTGCTCAATACTCAGAGTTTCATGCAAGGGATTAACACGATCAAAACACTAGCAAACAGATTTTTAAAAAAAAGAGAAAAGGATGCTTCTTTAAAGTGGACCTATCATGCTATATTTGAATAATATAGTGTAGGGCCATACCTATATAAGGCATATTTATACTTTTTATTTTTCAAAATACCAAACAGATCATGCATTTTAGCCATTCCTCATTTCGCTCAATTTAACACTGTCTTTGCATGGGCTGATTCTGTGAGAACAGCACCATCTACAGGCCTGGCATATGTACTACAGCGTCTCCAGCGCTTTCGAACGGCAATGTCCGTGGCTGTCTCCTCCTGATTGGTGGAGTTGGCCCAATAGCCGTAGCGCCACTTCTGTGACGTCATAAAAGTGTTCAAATCTGGATCAGTCTGTATCAGATCCATTGCAGCCCCTTTTTTAAGAGATTTGGGTATGGAGGAAAATAGAGAGGGTTGTGTTTTCTGACACTTGGTGAGTTCCCTGGAACACCGGGGACACATATTCATGTATAAAAGACATACAAAAGTGCATTTTGCATGATAGGTCACCTTTAAATCTACATACATAACTCCTCTGTTCAGTTTTTTGGAGACTTTTTAAAACTCGTCCTGACCGAATAGATTCCTTGTGTGCACTCCAAATCCAGATTTAAAAAATGGCTTCATATATTTTTTATGAACTTATGTACATATGTGATAATAAACTGTGATCTCAGCTCTAATACTTGATTCTAAATAAGGCACTCTTATTTGTTCTTGATCGAGTCTTGTCTTTCTAAACCATCAAGAAAGAATCTAATAAAGCAAAAATGCCCCACAGATGTTTGGAATAAGACCACACAGGTCATAAACTATATTTAAGTTATCTGTTTCATAGTTATTTTCCTGAGATGAAAAAACCCCTGCAGACAGGCAGATAGGGCCTGTGTTCTTCCCTATAGCAGAGGTTTAATTTGAAGGGAGTCAGGTTGCTCATCTTGCCTCAGGTGTTATCTCCTGTTACTCAGGAGCCAGCTGCTCTCGGATGATGTGAGCTCAGTGCTGCTTCACACATGTCAGGTGTGCTTTAAGAAGGGTGCAGTGAGTGAATCAATGTGTGAGGTGCAGGATGGAGGAGCACCTCATAATCAGAGCCTCCATCAGGAAATCCATTTCATCCTGTTCAGAGCAGATTTCTGGGAGAGTCTGTGGAGCAGAAGGAATCGGAGGGAGACGTGTTAGTGAGTGTGCCATGGTCCAGAGGAGAGAAATCCTTCCACCAAATCAGCAGACCTTTGTGCAGCTCACTCAGATATTCCTTTTTAACCTTGTGTTGGTTTTAAGCCAAGTGATTAAGGGCATTGACCAACTTTTTTGCATTTATAAATCTTTGTCTGCAGTTTTACAATAAGTGATTTAATTTTGACATAGCACAAACCACCTTTACACACGTTCACATTATGTTGGTAAAACATAAACAACCCTTCTCTAAATAAAGACATTACAAAAGCCTTGTCTTTTCAATTCATTCATCCGTGTGTGACCTTTGGATCCAAGAGGCAGGAGCCCCCCTGTGGGAGGCTGTTTAGTTGATTATGTATAATGAAAGTAAATCCTGGGGGGGTGCTATCGTCTGACATTTAGGTGTAACTTGGTGCTCATGTGTCTTACAGAGTGAGCACTGACCTTTATGGCCACCTGAGAGGGGCTGTTATCGCCACTAATCCCCAGGACTTGTCCTTCGTAGACTTCCCCAAATGCACCGTGGCCGAGAGCCCTGGAAGAAAAAAACACAAGTGACACATGAGTACAGTGTTTTTCCTGACATTTCAATATGGTGTGTGATTTAGCTCTACCTGAGAAGTGTTATGTTCTTGCGCGGCACTTCCTTTAGTTCATTGAGCGAGGCGGCCTTCCCTGCAAAGCAGTAGTTTGGGTTGTAGTCCGTCATGATGGTGGAGGAGCGGATCTTGCTCAGCTTGTACTCTGGACTCTGCAGACGCCCCCTCACTGCGTGCAGGTAGTTCTTCCTGCGGTACCACACTGAAGACAAAGACAAGACAACCAGCTACTTTTACTTTAAAGTCTGAGAAGGTTTTATTTAAATCACTCACTGGACCCCACACTTGCATGTAAGTTGTAGAAGCAACTTATCTGATCTGCTAACTGTAGGAGCAGTAACACAAGGAAGGGTCAAGCTGTATCTCATGATGCTTATGGATGTAAAAACAGCATTCTTAGGGACTTAGGTTAGTGTGGGATGTCCTCTCCTTGGTTACTGCTCCTACTCTGTCTGTGCCAGTGAGTTTGGACTCACCCGCCGTGGAGGCAGACCACGTCCCCGATGCAGGTTGGTAGTCTGCCAGGGAGGGGGTGTTGCGTGCAGGTAAGAGGAGCCGTCGAGCCACCGCCCGGTGCAGATGCTAGGGACTCGGGATGGGGGGGGGGTCGGGAAGATTGGGAAGGGTAGTTTGAGGAGGAAAATGAGGAGTAGGAGGAGGAGGGGGAGGGGGAGGGGAAGGAGGAGCAGATGGGGCGCCCAGGGAACAGACTACCTCCCTGCATGGGGGAGAGCTCAGGTGAGAGACACTGTTAACCTGAAGGGTGTGTGTACTGCAACGCAAAGCAAGCTGAATGCAAATGCACAAAGTCATTTTTTGTTGTTTTAGTATTTAATTTACACATTTATACTCAGTGCAGTTAGTGAGAAAGTGACAGTTGTTCATTTTTCATTAAAAAAATGTTTTGCATAGAAATCAGCTAAGTTTAAACTTTGGTAATTATAAGAGTATGTTATGCAGTAAACAGCTCTTTGTTCATGAATGGTTATATGAACAAGATAAGCATCCTTTTTGCAATGAATATGTCTGATATATTGATTACACATGTGTGACTGGAACATCTGTTGTACTTTTCTTTGACTTACTAACACCTCACTTGTTTTCTGTCCATTCCTCTTCAATACTAGTCCTTGATCTGAAAATACCATGTATCTCATGACTGATATTCATCCTCGCTGGTCCTCACCCTACTTACACTTCAAATGTTTCCATTCCCTATTTCTCTAAAATAATTGCCATGTAAAAATGTATCTCCTAAAAGTAGTTTTGAATAACAATTTCATCACATATTCCCAACATTCAATATTTCTCATATCCCACCATAAAGGCTTTTTCCTCTGCAGTTTATACATTTCTTTTAACATCTTCTCCAAAAACAAATCCTAATAGTCTGCCACTAGAATGTACTATAAAGTAATGTGGAGCTAACCTATAAAAATAAATCTCCACAACACAAATGTCTTGGATAGTAAATACACTGTGATCAAACATGATGTTGAAATACCCTTTTCTATATAGTAAAGGAACCGCTTTAGTGTCCAGAATAAAACCTGGTTCCTCTGTGAGGTCAGTACATGTCCTGTCTTTGTAACATGCAGATTCATTTTCCTCTCCTGTGTTCAAAAAAGTGTTGCTCCAACAATGGCGTCAAGATATCAATTCACCAGATAAATTCTCACTTGGATCATTAGGAATCTTCCCTGAAGGTCAATACATATCAAACATTTGTATTGACCCAGAGTCATCAAGATGTTTCCTTTTGCTGTAAATCTGACATGAACTTGCTCTGGTCACGCAAAACCCTCCATATTGCTCCTTTAATCCATCAGATTAATTACATATTCACAATTCTCCCGACAGGACTTTTTAATATAACATCTCAGTCAAAACACCAAGCCTCTCGCTGTGCCTGGTTGTCTCATCAGAGAGCGAAAAAGCCCCGAGAGCTGGAAGTGTGATTGATATTTTACAGGAAGCTAGCACTGTGCAGATTTCTCTGGAGGCTCTTTGAGAAAGTTTAGATCCACTAAAACCGAGTTTGGGAACGTAAGAGTGAGTCTTCTACGGCTGAGCTTCGCTTAATATTCAGAACTTTCACTAAGGTTAGCGAGAGGACGAGGGTGAGAGAATGTGCTGTACGAAAACATCGGAACTACTGTAGGATTAATGGTTGGACCCAAATGTCAGGCTTCCTTTCCTAATTATCTGCAGCTGATGGATGTCGAAATGGTGACAAATGTGCAAAAAACAAGTTTTATGAGCTCTATTATCCCTCACCGTCCTATATTATAGCACATGACTGCATAATCGTATTGTTACAATGTCATACGAACTGTATATAAAGTGTCTGCGGTTAATAAAGCTAGATTTACAGATTGTCTGACTGTCCACTCGTTTAAAATGACAGAAATCAGACAAATTGTGCCTTCTCTTCTTTTAAAAACAAAAAAATCTTCCTGGCAGTGCTTTGTGTAAAAACAATGTTACTGTACCACAGCTCAAGTCTTATTATACTACTATATCCTAGTGTCATACAGTCAATGCCCGTGGGTTAAGATCAACTGTGTTCTTCTCAAAATGACTAAAAGGCTTATCTTTATCACAGCTGTCTACATCCCCATATTGTTATGTAATTATGATTGTTTCTTAAGCAACTGAATCATACATTTTGACATTTACTGCTGTCTAATCTCACTCATCATAACGCATCTCCAGCTGAGAGAAACCTAGGTAAATGTCAAACTATTCTATGTTTTTTTTAATATATTTAAGCGACACGGTGAGATGCTTACTACTGTTTTGTGCTGCTATAAAAGCAATCATACTGTAGGCAATAAACACCAAATATCATATCCATTATGTCACTTCCCATCGCCGTATTATCTTGTTTCACACTCTTTGGCACAAAACAAATGATACAGGAAGCAGAAATAGAGTCATCTGAAATAAGTGCTTGTAATAAAAGTGTCCATATGTGCTCAGCAACACATCATTCAGAGCCCTATCTATCCCACAGCCCATTTAATCATCCGGCGCAGAGCCAGAAAAGGGCATTTACACCAACACTTCAAAAAGCTGTCCCTGTTTTTGTTGTCAGCAACATCTGTTAGCATCTGTACGTTCAGATGCGCTCACTCACAGCCGGTGGAAGGTGGAGGGCACAGACTGCACACAGAACTGGGAGAGTCTCTTACTGAGAATGACTCCGGTGCAGATCAGCGCGATGCCACTCGCGATGGTGGAGACCACGACCGCCAGGATCAAAGATGTTGACATGTGGCCATGCAGAGGCGTTCCCAGAGGAGCTGCTGGGAGAGGGGGCTCGATTAGTGAAGTTCAAAACAACTTTTAGATGTTTTATGTGTTTATGGGATATTGTTAGACATTAAAGGTCTCCTATCATGCAAAATGCACTTTTTGATGTCTTTTATACATAAATATGTGTCCCCGGTGTGTAAGGGAACTCACAAAGTGTCAGAAAATACAACCTTCTCTCTTTTCCTCCGTACCCAAATCTCTTAAAACAGGGGTATAAGGGAGCTGATCCAGATTTGGTGCCGATATGACGTAATATCCCAAATGTTGGCTGGCTTTAGACCGACGGCCCTATCAGAAACGTCGCTATCAGAAACAATGCGCGATGTGTTTTGGAAGTAATATGGTCTTTGTTTACATTAGCAAGCTTCGCTATACTGGAGAGAGCATGTGTAAAAAAGCAGGATATAAAAAAGGTACTCACCTTGTGGTAAACACGCAAGAGAAAAAGCATTTGAGCTCTATACTGTTTCAGAAATAATCCTTGATGTGGTTTGGTACATAATATGGCGTTTAATCACGGCAGCGTTTAGCTGAGTATCTGGGTAGAATTCTCCTGCATGAGCTCCCCCTCCTTTTTCTTTTCACTTTTTCTTTTTTGCAAAGCTACGGACCCAGAATCAGCATTTCTCTAACAGGGCTGAAATAGAGGGGTATGAGGCATGGCTAGAATGGGTGATCTGTTGGGTATTTTGAGCAAAACACTTCATAGACATGTTTTTTATATATCTGAGACCTATAATATATGCCTAAAAATAGTATAATAGGAGACCTTTAAAACAAGCTTTTAATGACTTATGGCCAAAATCCAAGAGAAAAAAGTGTTTTATGGTTGTTAATTATATACCTAAGGTGNCAACAAAGAAATTAGGCCTTTACAATATTCATAAGAAATAGGCAAAACTCAAATAAAACAACAAACAACTTAGGTATTCTTTCTTCCTTGATAATGCTTATAACTTCATAACTTAAAGCGTACTCGTACCGTACACGTATATACAAACCGTACAAATACCCTTTAAGTCGTGAAGTTAGAGGCCAAGCAACACTTCAAACGGTGAGTAATTTAAGGAAAGAAACAAGTTAGAACTGTCTGTTTAAGGCGTCTAGTGGCTTGATGGAAAAACAAGGAAGGAAGCCACGACACTATGTACACCTAATCCACACGATATATGAAGAAAACCCACAGAAACGATATGCAGAACTTAAACCCTCACCTTAAAGATGAAGGTGGCCCCTCCTCCTCCCCCTCCTCCTCCAGCCCACTCCCCTCCAGCCTCTCCGCCGACGTTGTCTTCGATCACTGAGGACTCCCCCAGGCAGATCCTCTGAGTGTGGGGATTTCTCTACACAGCAGGAGAGAGGGAGATTTGAGTTTCAGAGAGAGAAGCCCTCATCACAGAAGAATGAAACCAGAGATTCATTTGATCCAGGTCACTTTCTTGTCTCCAAACGATATCCCAATGGATTGTCAAAAACTTCAATAAAACCTTTCAGAAAGTGTTTGATTTCACCCTACTCACCCCGGGGCATGCATCCTCTCCCTGGTGGCCCACCAAGATGTAAAGTAGATCTCCTTTCTCCAGAGGAAATATGGCCGATATGAAGACCCCGTGGTTGCGTTTGTTGTGGTTTTTTGCTCCTTTCCCTCCTGCAGCCCCATACGCAGAGATCCTGAGGGAGATAATGGGGTTTTAAATTCTGTGACTGAAAGAGATTGCTTTCTGGCTCCAAAGAATATAACACACTACATGGAGACACTGCAATACAGTTATCAGGCAGATATATTTTGACACAAAAGAAGAAACAGTCAATCGCTGTTTTGTAAAGATTTGCTCTTACAAACAGACACTGTGTGTTAGTACTGGCATGAAGTACTGCTGTGTGTTATCTAACCAAAGTAATTAAACGCCCTGTGGATCCTATGATGAAGCCACTTTCCTGTTGCCTCATTTCATGTGGTGAGCGTGATAATGAGGTCCCATGACTGACTGTGCAAAGACAATCTAATTGTTTGAAGTCTTGATCTGGCAGGACGATTGCATGAACAGGAAAGTTTAGAGCCCAAGCACGCAGATCATAAAACTGTCACCCGAGCCCAGCTTGACTCTTCAAAGACTAAAGCTAATACAAATGAACTATTCAGGGCATTCAGAAAAATGTAAAAAAACATTGAAACTCTGATGTCATCATGTATAACTGTGCCTAAATAACAACACTGTCTTTTTTTATTGTCAGAAATTAAACCAAAAATCATAAGTTTGTATCGCAATCATTTCTGACTTACCCTACCCTGTCTGTGGCTCACACCCTCATGTTCTATAGTTGTGGATAGATATTGTTGTTGTTTTTTTAGGCTCAAACACCACACCTTTAAGATATACAATCTCAGTTATTTCCTATATAACCTGGGCATGGCAGTTTTAAGAAGAAAAAAAAGTTATATTTTGCTTGTCAGTCTTATTTTAGTAAACTGGAATACCCAATGTCACTGTAATAAAAAATGCATCATCCAGTACAACTGCACAACTGTAAAAATGTATGGCACAGAAGTATTACCAACATCAGGCTTTGACTACTAGAGAGACTAAATCTTATTTGTAGATTTTTCACATTTTCTTGGGATTTGTTGACTATAGGAACAATATAAAATCATTATTTAACAACTTAAACAAATAACTGACCAGCCTCTTGATTTCCACCTTACAGCTCAGGTAGATTAAAGCCACTCTTCCATCACTTACATGTATCTGTTTGTAGCTGGTACCCTCCACATCTGGACTCCTTTTAAAGGGTCTTCCTTCCCCACAGTGACACTGACATTTTTGTTCCTGTAGGTGCTGTCACACTGGGCCTGGGTCGGACCGTAGGGTCCGCTGGCACCGCATGAGTTAAACAACCATGTCATCAAAGACACCTCTAGAGACAACAAAACAAACACTTACATTAGCTGGTGGGTGATTTCTGATTGGGTAAAATAAAGGTACTGTATATTTACAAGCAAGAAATACACTTGGAAGAAAGATATATACGAGAGAAAAAGATAAACATTGGGAAACAGTACACACATGTAGCACAAGGTCTAGGAGGGTCAGGGGAAATTGCATTATCCACCTGGTATGCGAGCGCTGCATGCTGAGTGGATTACCAGCCCTGGTCAACTGATATGCTATATAAAGCTTCAAGCGTCACAGGAAATTGCAATTGTACAATCCACCACCTGGTATGTAAATTCTGCGTGCAGAATGGATTATAAAGACATGGTACACTAGGGAGGCTTAAACAATTCACAAGGTATCACAGTACCTGAGGCTGAAGGCTCTGGAAGAGGGCTTAAGAAATCCTCCAAGTCCGTCATGGGCAGGAGGGAGTTCAAATCTGAGGAGACAGGAGGCAACAGAAGAGGAAGGTTTGGAGAAAGAGAGACAATGAGCCCGTCAACATCCGCATGTCACTAAAGTATAAATTAGACTCGAGGATGGGTGTTTTGGATGAATAGCGACACATTTCCTGAGACTAATTCCTGAGCAGGAAAACACTATACATGTATTTCTTACTTAGCTTACAGTAAACATTGTCCATTTTCATGGTTTAAGTTAATGCAGTTTCTGTCAAAGATAAAGGTTTAGAGCTGTTTGCAATTTGTCCAATCCAAGACCAGATGTCCACAGTGATATCATCGCCAATGCAAGCTCACTCAAACAACATCAGCCTAATGGTCGTTTCAACACCATAAAAGCATGCAAGTCTCCCCATCAGAGACAAGATCTCAAAATGTCAATGGGGGAAACTTGAAACTGAGTTATGGACTATTAAAGTAAAATTGGATCCAGAGCTGATACCAGAAACTGTTCCTGTTTAGTCAAACCGCGACCACACACACACAACAGACGTTTCCCTCTGATACACCCGAGTCAAATGTAATATGTGTTTCAACTTTATCACAATACTAATTGATAAAATCATACCTGGAACATTTGAAAAGAGGAGAAAACGATTTTTTAAATGACGTTCTGCGTGTTTGAGAGAATGGAAAATAAATGAAGTATAATGACTTTGACAAATGAATGTGAGTACACATGTTTCCTGCTATATTGCGGTACTGCATCTGCAGCAGAATTAAATGATGGCAAGCCACACGTCAAACACAATTGGCATCAAATAAATAACTAAGAACTGCTGCAGGGCTGAGCGACACACGGCAGTCATCAGTTACACTATACTCTCTGATCTACATTTCATTAATAAGATTCTGCTTTCATAAAGAGTACTGATCATTCTAAACGTAGTAAGGAGAGACACAGTGTTACATACAGTATATAAGATGGATAAACTATTTGAGCAGTATTAGCTCTAGAGTTTAATAAGCAAGTCTGCGCAGTGGTCTCTGTGGCCACACATTTTAATTTAAAGACGCCCTGCAGGAGTTTGCTTATGAACAAACAAAATATGTGTTTTAGATCTGTATCTTCAGCAACAACAGTTGGACAGAAATATCTCAAAATGTTTTTAGATAACAGTAACGACAGGTCATAGTCATCAAGTATGACTTAAGCAGACCAATTTGCATTTATTTTCCATGATTCAAACCTTTTATTTACGTAGCATGTGAAATACCTTTAACAATATATTTTATTTATATTCTTTTAATACTATAATAGCCACAAATGTGCTTGATCATATTTAAATGGTGCTGTTTCTGTTATGGTCTGTAACAGTTTATGATGGCATGTTAGCAACAGCCTACCTGTTTCAAAGCAGGCTGCTCCGAGGGCAATATCATCGAGAGCGACGTCAGCATTAGAGCCTTTTCCCCACACAGCTGTCACCTTAATGTGGAACCTGGATAAAAAGAACAAAATATTTCTGTTTTTAGAAAGAATGACATGTTTTGTCTTAATGTGAAAGGCCACAGAAATGAAATAACAACACCTGTATGACAGATGGTAGAAAATAAGTAGAAACAGCATTTATTTTCTTCTTTCTTAGCATCAATGTAAAAGGAAATCGGAATATGGCAGAGCCTGACGTCAACAAATTTAAATAGCGAGGGGAAGAAGAGGTGGCTACGGTTGGATGATGGGGATGAGCTTTATACACAAGAGACTGTGTCTGATTGTCTAGCTGTAGCACGGCTGTGACACAATTATCTGCTCCTCTGCCCTTTTGATTTCATTTTACGCACTCATGATGAAGGCCGGTCAGCTGCAGGGCAACATCTTCCCAGTCGTCTGTCCACTGATCGCTTCTCTCCCACACCAGTGGTGCAGTGTTAGTCCCATTCTCCTCTATGGCCACCAGCAAAGAACCATTGAAGTCCCCGTACAAGTAGAGAGAGAAACGCAACTGTACAGAAAAAACAATATATGTTAGCATACCGACAAAATCTTTAGTTGTGAATGAGCTGCCATAAAATGGGAACAAAAATATATAAACACAGTTATTAAACCATCCGTCCGAATGACTGACCTGGCAGGCAGAGGTGGAGACTGGCGGAGGGAACGAAAGGCTCTGAATGGACGCCTCTCTTAGGGAGTTACTCTCTCTAACCTGCAGAAACAGGAAGTGCCCTGGGGCGCACAATAAATGTGACACAGCAGAACACCAACCAGCACAACAAGCTTATTTTAAACGAACATCAGTAGTAGAGAAATCGTTTAAACGTTTTTTGTATACTTTAAAAGCCATACATTCCCAACAGACACAGCTGCATATAAAAAAAAAAAACTGAACGCAGCTGTAACATCAGACTGAATATAAAGCTATTATGGGCTCTTTAAAGATTCATTTGTTCTGCAAACGATGCATATGAATTCTTCATGGACATGCAATGTAAATCTATGTGGCATTAATATAACAAGGCTTTCACAAACAAGGCATTATTACCTTGGTCTGGAAAGAACAGTGTTACTTATATCTTTCCACACCACAGTGAATAATCAGAAAAGGACAAGATAGACTAGACAGACTTCGTATGTAGCCTACTGCGCGCACACACACGGACAGACACACACACACACACAACCGACCTGGTGTGCTCTGCAGAGCGACGCCCTGCAGGTCTTTTTCCTCCAGAAGATCGTCTCCTTCCACCCTTCTCCAGGCCGAGCGCTGTTTGGAAACGGACCAACCACATGTATCCGGTTCAAAAGAACAGTGAGAGCCAAACGGAAGAGCGCCTGTGGAGGAGCAAATTGTTATCAAGTTTCTCCAAAAGTCCCGCTTTTCCCCTTTAATACTGTTTTTCCAAAAGCAGGAATTTAATTTTGGAGGAATCAGCGGTGGATTGATGCTCAGAAAGCTGTGGCCTAAAGGAGAGGATGGACATTTGACCAACTTCAAATTGCCTTCCGTCTTAGTCACATGTTGAATCATATAGGCTGTAAAGTTTCTAATACATCCAAGAGTCACTGGGATAACAACATCACTACTAAGGCAGGACTTTAGAGCCACTGTGAATACCTGCTGCAAACAATGTAGCTGAAACCTCCATATCTCTTTTTAACCTTAGAAAAATTGTTCGACATTTTGTGAAATATGCTAATTTGATTTGACTATTTACTAATACAATTTAAATATATATTACTTATACATATTTTACATATACAATTATTTGACTTTCCAAGAACAAGATGGGTACATTTTGAAACCTATATCATGTCTATTGATTGGTGTAGATATTCTATACTCACTCTCGTAAAAAAAAAGCAAATTAGCACATTTTCCAAAATCAACTATTTCTAAAAACCTTATGCCACAAAAAAATTGAAAAACACAGCCCTGACTCTCGTAATGGAAAACAAACAAAGTGAATTATCAAAGCCAGTAGGGCTCACTTTTAACATTAAAAGCCTTTATGGTGTTTTCATATGAAGCTGTAAATGCATGTCGTAATTTATGAAGAGACTGTCACCTTAATTGTGGTTGTAGAAAAGTAATTTATGGGGCTAAAAGAGTTATTTTAGATCATCCATTTAATGGACTACAGCTGGGGCCTTGTACTGCAAGCAGAGTTTATCGACCACCGTGAAAAATGTTTTTGTTGAAAAGGCTAAAAGCTAAAGAAAATGGACTAAACCAGAATATTTTTGCTAGATAAAAGACTTGTTTTGGAAATGATTACGTTTTTCAATAAATGTTGACTTTAAGACCGTGTCAAGTACAGAGACGAGGACTCGCTGTGTGAGTTCGTGTTTGAAAGAGAAAGAGCACATGGACTCTTGCACGCGATATTTTTGTGGGTTATTAATAACAGTCATTTATTTGTCAATGTTATGATGCCTTTGAAATGAATGATTACTGTTTTAAAATACAAAGGAAATGAAAGGTACAATTGTTATTAGTGACCTAAATCTCAAGACTTCTAAATACTAATGAATTCACTACAGGTGTTTATTATCAAAAAATGGTATGTTTATACATTATAAGGGATGATTTCTGAAAAGCATATCAAATTCCTGAGAATACGATAAAATCATTTATGAAAAAAGGAAAACTAGCCGAGAATCTGAGGACAGCCACATTTGGGGCTTCACACTTTAGACGTCTACTTAACTCACTGTAGGCCTACTTTCAATATTTTGTGGCATGAAATAATCTGGTACCTCCAGTCAAAGGATTATAACATCAAAATGGATTTAAAATGAATTGAATACAACTAATGCAAATTGTCTGCTATTAGCCCCATTTTCTGCTTTAGGACTCCTCAACTTTTCGGGCCCTAACTCTCCACCCACGGCCACACAAACTGACGGCCGCACACAGACACATCTTTCACTTTTATTGTTGTTTTCACACTCCCACTCTCAGAAACGGTTGAACGTGTAGATCAAAGCAAACAGTTAAAATGATTCATCCTCATTCACGGGAAAAACTCTAAAGCTGACTGCACAAGTGCTTTTCCAAGTGTTACTAATAGAAATTGAATTGCCGCTATTTCCCTCAAAAACGGAGTTAAATTGAGCAACTAATGATTTTATTCATCAGAAACTAAACCTCACCACAGATGAAGCCCTCGTCTTCTCCTAGAGGACAGTCGGTGTGGAAGTTGCAGACTTGGCTCAGGCCGATGCAGTCTCCTGAGTTTACACAGTGGAAAGATTCCCAACAATTTGCATCCAGCCCGAGTCCCTGGTGTTCTGTAACCACAGAAATCACACAAAAATTATACAATACTTCACATCCGATACACCATGGACAAGTCTTTTACTTTTGAAGATAGGAATGTGTTCAGTAAAGTAAAGAAAATATGATTTTCTTTTCTTTTTTAAGATAACAAGATCAACACTACTTACAGTAAACATCTGTTTTTTCAATGAGCTACAACCAGCAGCTAGTTAGCTTAGCGCAAAGACTGGGATCAAGGGTAACAGCTAGCCTGGCTCTGTCCAAAATATGATTAATACCACCCCTCAAGCTCACTAAATGACCCTTAAGATATCATTTGTTAATCATTAAAAAGATCAAAAAATAAAATGTGCTGTTCTAACAGGGCGCTACGTGCTAAACTATTCTTGGCTTGTGGACAGAAACTTTCTGAAGTCTTGACTGTGTGTTAAAATGCGTCTAATGCTCCGCCAGAAACCAAAGTGTATTTCTATACCTGCCTAATTTATTTACAGCGCATGGAGTATGAAATAGCTTAAATGCATAAATAATTGCTATTGAACATATGCTTTTCATGTGTTACTGACATAATAAGAACAACAATGAATTGTATGTGTTGTGTTTCACTTTATATTTAAAATTAAATAAGGCATTCAAAATCTTACATATTGATATGTTAATGATAAACTAATTTGCAAAGAGAAACATTTTTCAGTGTTTCTGTTTTGAGCTGAAAGGGGGAAAATATGTTTTTAATCATCTGGAACATGAACAGGTTTTAAGGTAAAAAAATAACATTAAAAAAATAAATAAAAAGAAAAGGTACAGTGTTTGGTTTGAATAGAAATCGTTAAAGCTTTTCAATAAGGTGATAACTCACCTGAGTCACAGTCTATGAGCTCCAGAGAGTCCAGAGCCACAGTCCCTCCATCTTCCCCCAAACAGGAAGTGTAGAGAAGGATCATTTGAAAGGGCTCGTCCACCTGACCAATCATAGCATCCAGAACCTCCCACTCAGCCCTGCATCAACCAATCACAGTGACATGTCTTTTAAAGTAGGAATTCACAACTTCCTTTTTTTATTTATTAGCTTTTATGAATATATATAAAAAATAAATAAAAATGCTATCAGCATAAGGCCCACAACTGTATCTTTTTATTTTGCAGTACCTCTTAGTGACTTTACTGTCACCTGTTGTTGATCCCTGAGCTGACGTGGTTAGTTAATGTCATTAGAAAACGTAGTAAGAAAAGGTTAACGCTGGTCAGTTGCGGTTCTCTAACCTGATGTTGTTGATCACAATATTTATGTTATTTACTGATCTTCTTGGTGAAGCAGGCATCAGCAGAAATATCCAACATAGAGAATTTTGACCATGTTTATAAAATATCTTTAAAGAGTCCATTTAACCTCAGCTTCTAGAAGTCTGGACAAAGAAAAGCCATGGTGAACATTGGCTGTTTGTTTACACCGATTGAAACTAATAATAAAATACAATTCTAAATGCAAACAGGGTTCCCTTTCACATGTCAATGCAAAAAAACACATTGTTGAAGCGATTCAGATTTTTCACAAGGTGACTAACCTAACAAACATGTTGAATATTTTATTCCTCATAAAACAAAGGCTTTTTTTCAAATCTGCATTGTACATTATAAAAGTCGTATTTATATCACCATCTTAAGCAATTTTATTGGCACATGTTTACCCAACACTGCAACCATTTTCCATTAAGCAGTCAGCTGAAATGTCAATAAACCACAATAAACAAACAATACAGCTCAGTGAAACATGCAGCTACTACTTAAAAAGCTCCAAAGGGTACCTGTTCATATTATGGTACATCTGTCACATCCTTGTATTCATTTTTTTCCCACCTGAGATGCCATAAATTGTGCAATGCTGCATATAATCCACCTCTCAGAGTTCAGTTCTTCACCATGTGACAGCTTTAAACTTGTTGTTTCACTGTCGGGAACATACATTAAAATGAAGGTAATGTGTTCCATCTCTGGGCCTTTATCAGGGCTTTTAAGCTTCTGGTTTACAGGAAAAAAGTCCAATTAGGGCATTTGATTCATTCTGAAAGCAGTACAGGTGCAATGTAACAACTAACACAGCACTACAGTAAAAGATGCGTCATCAGTGGGGAATTGTGCATTATATGGAGAGTGCATCTAGAAGTCTCCATCCAGCATGCGATGAATCAGTGGGCTGCATAAATGAAACCACTCATAATGAAATTGCCCAGTCCATTACTGCACAGATACTAACAAAGCCAATGTACAAACTTATTGCATATGCCCATCCATCCCTCTTCTGTCCAAACCAATTATATATACATGTGTTTCCAGAGACTGCATCGAGACACATGAATGCTTTTAGTTTCTCTAAAGGAGGCTGCAGTCAGCATTAGATCAAGAGGAGATAAATGTCCCCATTTCCTGAACAGTATACAGGGGACTGCTGTGCCCACATGGACACAATTCTAAAGTTTGTCCCGCATGGCAGCTGAGATACACTTTCTTTATTTTTCTTTAGAACCACAGAAGTAAAAGGTATTACTTTCTGTGCCCTTGTGCGCTCTGAAAGCGTATGTCAACTTTCATTGCAGTGAGCTCTTAATTATTTCATAGGCTGGCCCTCAGCTTGACAAGCACTTCAATCCGATAAGATGCAGGGTTTGGCTTTTTGGACACTAATTAAATGGCCGTGTTGTGCTGCATAATAAATAAACATCAATACTGCACACAAACAGCATTGCAGAGCTGGATCTGGGTGTGTTCACTGACCTGCCTTCATCCCGCCTCCTGTGGTTGATAAGCACAACATCCGAGTGAACATCTGAGTCCGAGTGGACCGGTTTGATCCGGAGCGTGAGGTTCCCTGCTGCTGGACCGGACTCATACAGCGCAACCTGCAAGATGCAGTGTCTGTCGTTTCCTGGCAACACTGGGCTGGTTAGGGTGAACTCACATCTCCCAGAGGCCTCGGTGGCAGGGGAGGAGCTTAGGAGCAGGAAGTGCCCTATAGTGATTAAATAAAGTTGGAAATGAATGCATGACAGCTTTGTGACAGCCATATTTCTTTCAGTAGTATAAATCATTTGAGGAATAACATTAGAACAAATCTCAAACAAATGTCACAGGAGGAACACTGACTCAAAAGAGCTTTGAATTCAAAGATCCATCACTGGGACATATTTTCAAGAATAAAGGCATGTGCAGTCTCTCAAAGCATTGATTTACTTGCTTTCAAAGTCTCTTCTCTTACCGTCAGAGTTTCCCACTGAGTGGTCGGTCACAGGCATCAGCCGCTTCTGAGAGCTTTCTGGTTGCTGCGGCGACACCACTGACCAGTCGCTCCGGTCGCTGTGATTTGATAACGTCCAGTGGCACAGTGACTCGAAATCACAGGAGTTGACTGAAAGAACGACAAGTGAAGAATTTTTGTGTAAATATTCAAAGATGTGGGGGATTCACTTAACATAAATTTAAGAGGTTAATGGTTAAAATACAATTAAATAAATAAAAGTAGATTATATATTTTCTATCCAAAGTTCTATAATTGATAATTTTGAAGGGTAAAATAAGGAAGACATGTGGCAAAAATAATTATTGTATACTAAAAGTACAACAATAGGGTTATTTAAAAGACAAAAAATATAATGTCAAAACCAACCAAATAACTCAACTTTACAAGAACCAAACAGCAATTGTGATTCCTCCCAAAACAAGGCAATGCAAGAGTCAATATAAACAAATATGATGTTTTTAGTTTGTTTAATGTACAACATCTTTTAAAAGTAACTTCACAATCGACAAATCCATTTTAGTTTCCTATTTAAATAACCAAAGGTGTACATTTTGTACTTTTTGGATCCAGAGCTGCATCAATAAACACGTGATTCTTAAACCAGGTGATTTTTATGTGGAGTAGTCCCTGTAGTTTATTAAAATCAGAAATGTTTACCAATGTTAGAATATGGTGTTCTGGAGTCACACATGGATCATGACCTCCACCACAGACTAATCACTTCCTTGGCTCATGGCCTACATTTCCTCTAAATTAAATTGAAATCCCGAATTTCCTAAACAGCCAGACAGAAACAGAAAGGACTCTTTGTACATTTTGAGTAATTGTGCATATGTCTGTGTTGTTTTTTTGTTCTTTGAAAGGGGCAAAACAGACGAGGCATTCGAGACATCATGTGATGGTTAGAGAGGAAACTGACACGACAGCCACAGGAAGGAATCCCTCTGGGGATAAAGGACGGAAATACGAGGCATATTATTGAATTATCTAATCGAAATCAACATTCATTAATAAACTTAGCTGCCTTTAATGATATTCCTTTGTTTTTTTGTTTTCATCGAACAGAGCACCAGAGGCCTGTACTACGAAGCTGGATTTTCCTAACCTGGATATGTTTGAGTTAGCCGGTTGGCCTAATCCAAAACATACGCGCTGCCGCTAAACTGTACTACGACGCGGGTTATCAATTGGATCGCTCAAGCCAGCCGTGCCCTATCTAGTTAGGTGCGCGTTCACATGAAAGGGGTGGTATTTGGAGCATTCGACCAATCACAAACATGGAGAAGCGTACTGACAGCGCAGCGTCATACTTCCTGAATGAAAAGTCAACTATAATATTAGACATATGAAGAAGTTAAACTTTAAACATCCATGACTTAAACACTTTATCCAGGATAAAAGCCAGATAGCTGCACCTGCAAGGTGAATACAGCTGGTAAAAGAAAAAGTGTTTGAATGCGTACATTAACAGGTTTATGATATGACTGCTCCGTCTAAGACACGAGTGGATCTGACTTTAATTACATTTGTCTCGAGTGTTTCGTCAACTTAATGTGTTGCTTAAAATAATACTTCTGCATACAGTATGTGACACTGTGAGTGTTGCACGGCCAGATACGGCTCAGCTGACTCAGATAAGGAGATATATGATACATTATGATGTGATATGCCGTGGACTGTACTTAATGTTACTCTGATCCGGTTACTTATGTTGTGGCAGATATTTAAGTAAGCTTTCTTAACGCTAATAGTTATAATAGTCAGATTGCTCTGAGAATGGGAGGTGATATTCTATTAATGTTCACGTTCACACAGTCTGTGATTTTTGCCGGCCGTCTTTCCTGCAACGGCAGCTTTTCTGTATTTCCTTTCTCCTGTAATATGACTTGATCGCTTTAAACTCCGAACACTGAGCTCTGATTGGTCAGCAGGCGGTGCTTTCACTGAGTTGAGCTCTTAGCCTGCAACCTAACCTGCTCCGGGTCAGGTTAGCCGCACAGCATAAGTTACCATGGAGATCTAGCCTGCTAAAAAGAGAACCAGCTTCGTAGAACCGGAAAGCCCAAGCTTTCCCTGAAGTTAGCCAGCTTCGTAGTACAGGCCTCTGGAGAGCGTGATCACATGAGGGTTATATGTGATTAAGACTTTTCATTTAACTACAATTTTGGCTCTATATAAAATGTAT